GTGAAGAAAGTAAAAAATAAATGTATATTTATTTTGCAAAAAAATATGTTATAAATAATTCATATATTACACTTTTAGCTAAATATAATTAAGGTAAATAATATTAATATTCAGTTAAAATATATTGTAAAGCATCTTAATGGTTAAATCTATCTTTTTTCTTGCATTTTTTGCATAGAATCGAAATATGCTTTAATAAGATTACCCAAATTAGTTATGCTAGAAATATTAGGTATATTTGATTGATTACTCTAAAGATTTCTAATCTCAGATGCACTTATATTATATTGCATTAATGCAATAGGTTTTCATAGTAATAGAAGAGGAGTTTGCCTATTTAGTGTTTCAGATTTTTGGTTTAACATATGGTTAGAAATTGGTAAAACCATTTTTTGTCTAGCATTAGAAATATAAGCTGACATAGTATTTTTTGCTATAGTTGCTTTAGATGAAAGGTAAGTTTTATAGCTGATTGAATGAGTATCATAATCATATGATACTGATACCAATTTATTCTTTTCTGAATATAAGGTAGATTAGAAGAAAACTCTAGATGAAGATGATTAATTTTATCCTCTTTTCATAATATGTATTGTTTATATTATCAGATTTTAAATTTTCTTTTATCAATAGATTTGAAAATTTCTTCTTTTTTTTGTATATTCATTCAAAATAGTATTTCTAAAAATATATCTCTTTAAGTAACCATCTCATTAGTAATTAACTCTACTAAAACCATTTTTAAGTATGAAAACTAAGGAGTTACATACACTACAATATATATAATTGGATAGAAGACCATAGACCTTATTACTTCTTTCAATTAATTTTTCATACATTGTAATGTATTCATTTCCAAAAAGGATTCCTAGATTCTCTTTTAGAATTTTTTTAAATGGATAATGAATATGAGAATATAATATTTCTAGTATTTCATGATTATATCGTTTACTTAAAAGATATAATGCTTCTAATATTTTTCTATATTCTTTAAAGTTTACATCATTATAACTTACACTAACTAGCTTATATTAGGTTTTATTATTTAAATCTATATTAATGTTTTAGTAATTATAACAGATTACAATAATTTTATAGTATTTTATCAATTTTAGCTGATTTAGCAATATTATATTATAATAAAACTATATTTATTTTTATTTGATTGTTCAGGTAAAAACAGATTTATAATTTTTCATCTGATATCATAATTTGGTTAAATTATATCTGATCACTGCAGATGATTAAACTATAAAATTTGTATCACATATGATCTCTTTAAATCCTTACCAGTTTTACAATAATTCTATGACAGTTTTAGGATTATTCTATACGTGAACGAGTTTTTATAAATTATGAGATGATTAGCCAATCAGGTCACCTTTCTTGATCTATTGATATAATAGCTAAGCCACCGTTATTATTCAATTAATTATTACATTGATCAATTAATTTGTCTTGTAATTATCTTATATATTACTTGATATTGTTTTATAAAACAGACCCTTTAAGAATCTTCTTACTATGTAGTTAACTATGGAATTTTCTAACACTTAACTTCACATTCTTATTGACAAACATAAAAATAGAAATACAGAGTATTACACTACTATAAATAAAAAGAAGTATTTCTTTTAGAACAAGATTGCGAAAAAAATAAATGATCAAGAAAATACTAATTATTTCACTGGTAAAGCCTGTTATAAAAAATTCTTAGGTCTTATAAAAGCTTTTTATGTAAATGGTGATTGCTTAAATTCTATGAGATATCTTGATAGCAAATCTTATTATTAATTTATTAGATGGTAGAAAAGTATAAAAAAGGTACTGAAACTAAAAAAAGTTTAGTTAGCAAAGAAATTTACGAAGAGTTATCTAATAAGTTTTAGCTAAAATTAGGTATATATATTTCGGTAGAGAAATAAATACACTAGTTATTTCCTTTTTATATGATTTCAAACAATTTAAATCCTTTTTTTCTTATCAATTTGAAAAAAAATTAAAAATTTTCAGATAGAAAGCTATCTAATATTTCTTATCATATTTTCAAAAAAATAGTTAAATCATCTCCTATATTCATAGAACAGGGAGAACTATACAGTTATTTCAATTTTACGCTATTCACACTTAATAAAATAAGATTTGGCTTTATATCTATCTTCTATTTCCTCATTATCATGATCTAATTTGCATAATGGATAGATGGTCTCTCTCAAAATCCTGTATAATGTCTCATCATTAATCCCATAATAATCAAAATTTTCACTACTATATTCTCTATATAGATTAGAATATTAATCTAATATTTTTTTACGAAAATAGAATCAGTCATAAGTTGGATTAGTCCTACTTATTTGAGATTTGACTAATGAAATCATTTTTAATAAAGCATTTATCTTGATTTCTTTTTTATTAGGTAAAGATTGACATTTAATGTAATAAGAATCCTTTATGCATCAGCCAACTACTTTTTCTTCAGTATTCTTTTTTCACATTCAGGATACATATGCATCATTATGTCTGTCACTATTATATAAGGATAGGTAAGAATATTCTTTTAAAACCACATTGATATATGAAATACAAATATCATATAAGATTACCAGTGAATTGATCAGGTCTGAAGAATTAGTGAATGTAATTGGAATTCTTACTTTAGAATTGGTAGGCATAGTTGTATTGCTAGTGATCATTTCTAAAGTCACATGAGTGCATGAAATTTTTTTATGCTGTATTATTTTAATAGTATTAATTGTATATCAGTTAACTTTAAGAGTTTGTTTACACTATAAGTTTTGATTCACATAATCTTATTTTTCCAATTTTGCTAAATAAAATATATATAGATTTAATTAGCTGTATTTTTTTGCACAAATTTATATGAGAGACTTCTGAAAGATACTGTAGCATTTTATCATAAATCTGTCCACTTATAAGTTTATAGGCTTTTTTATTCGTAATAAGTTCATTTTTTAAGATTCCAGGTAAACTCTTATTGTCTTTTTTCAAAATACTTTTTATAGTAATATTAGCTTATTATTTCATCTTATTTAGCTTGTATAATTCTAATTTCAGTAAATTTTATTTTTTTATATAGATAATATAATTTAATTACAGGCAATTGATCAATAGCAGTACTCTCTTTTATATTAACAACCTTAACACAATTTTCTTCTAAAGGTTCTATAAGCAATTCTTGTATCAAAGGCTATATATCTATTTAAGATGCTTTTATTTTAGCATTTTGTTCTGATAAAATAGGGTTATTAAAGATAGAATGCAAATTTGTAGATAATTCTAATGAAGGAATATTAGAAGTGTTAAGTAAATCTAAGTTATGAAACTTTTTTTCACTATTTTTTTGTCTGATTTTATTATTAACCTTTTTCTTGTATTTTTCATCTAAGAAAACATTCATCTCTTTATTCTTCAATAAAGTTTTTCAGAAAAAATATCTTTAATAGAATACATATCTTGCAAATTAATAATTTTTTGAGTTTGCTATTTGATATCAGAGTCAGATATTAAATCATTTTAATGAAACTGATTTCAAGAAATAAGTAGTTTCTTCAAGAATGCAATCCCAGATCATTTTATGAATTATTATGTAAAATACTATTTTTTGGATAAGAAATAGGTTTTAAGGCTTCTTGTTCTTTTATAATAGGTATTTTAATCATATCAGAGGATTTAGTATCCTGTGAAGCTTTTATCTGAGAAATATCATTTTTTCTTTAATTTTAGTAGTAGAATATTCAAGATAAACATTATAAATCATGTGTCAATCTGTAAAAATAGTAATATTTTTTTGTTGCAGATTTGTGAAAATAGGTTTATGATATTCTTGGCATAAAAGCAATTCATGAATTCTTCTAGTTAAGATATCTAATACAGACTTATTTACATCCAGTTATAATTCTTTAAAAATATTTAATGTAGTATATATAATATAATTCATTATTCATATTAGCAATGAATTTATTATATTTATATTATATTTAAGTAAATAAAATCTCATTACTCAAATAAAAAATCATGTAACAGCATGAAAAAAATTTATGCACTTTTGTCAAGAAAAAATTTTTATTAATACATGCAAAAAAAAAATAAATACAAAGTTCAGAATGTAGCTTGTAATATATATTAATTTTTTCTATATTCTATTATTTTATTTTTACCTACTTCAATAATTCCTGAAATTTAATCTGATTATTGAATACCCACTTGATTTACCCAAACAAGTCCTGATAGGCTTCATCAAGTCATCATAGATTAATATAGTTTTGTTAATTAGTAATAGAAAGGGTGACAACAAATTTAATAATACTTCCGCTTTTTTTTCACTATTATTCTCAAAGTTAGACAAAACTAGTTTTATTATCCAGTCTACAGCAGTTGATACAATCCTATATATTATATTTTTATGTAAATTTGCTATATTATAGCTACATTTTTTAGGGTTATGCTGGATAGATGTCTGCAGTTAGATTACATTCTATACAATTTTTTGATTAAATTTCTTTTTTTCACCTTAGTGATTGTGATAATAATATTCTCTATCTTTATAGCCCAATTAACAGGACCTTTGCTATAACTTCCTGATATTTTATACTGATTATTTTACCTTTATATATTGATGCTACTCTATAAATGATACGAGAAATATATTCACAATGGATAGTCTTGTTGAAGCTAGTGATGTGTTGAGATGTCTTATGCAATCTTAAAAATTCACCTATAACTTATTTTTAGATATTTTCTAGCATATCCTTAATATCTCTAACAAAAGTAAGTAGTTTATTATAATTGTCTGCCTTTAAGCTGAAGAGTATCTTTATCTTATTAAATCTCTACAAGGAGAATGATTATTGAGCTGTTGTAGAAATACAAGATTAAAGCTATTAGTATCTATTATATAAATATCATAAAAAACATAACTAATATTAAACATTACTTACATGTATCTATGACAATTGAAAGGTCTACTTTAATCTTTGAGACTAAATTATACATGTCAAGTCTTCATCATCAACTAAACGAATACATTCTTTTTCACTCTTATAACTTATAATGATATGCTCATCCTTAGTTTCGTCTAGAAAAGTAAAATAAGTTTAAAGTCTTGTCTTTAAAGCTGATAAGGTTATTTACCCATGAGTTACAGTACTCAAGAATTTCTCTAACTTATATCTATACGTTGTAATGTAGTGAACTTTTTTCATATTAACAGGATGTATATGATGATATATATGTGTTTATTGACTAGCTAGAAGGTAAAATATTTGCTAATCTTTAAAAAAGGTAAAAGTTTCTCACCACTAAGGTCTTCCTTGATATTAACATTTATTTTGTATTGACAAGCTTAAGTTTCTTATTTTCTTCTTCGAAGAAAATGTTGACCTTCCATAACATGAGATCTTTTGCCTTAACATTATCATCAATTTTTTTCTTAATAGCGTCTTTTAATAATGTCACAGTCTTTATTTGAGTGGTATTAATAATAACTTGAAAAACATTTTTATATGGATTTTCTCTTACAACTAAATAACTAAGTGTGATAGTTGACATATCACTTTTATAGATAATTAACTCAGATAAAAAATAGTATTACGTTCCAGAGTGAGATAAAAATTTATTTCTGTTTGGAAAAGAAAATACTTGACATTAATATAGATTTTTATGTTATATAAGCATGTATCATTGCACATGATCCATTTCTTATGTACTAATAAAATAATAATAATACTTTATTTATGAATAAAAAATATTACTAGAGCAACTGATACATAAAAAAAATAGCATAACGAAATCACTGCTTACTATTAGGATATTTGAATTTTTAAATAAATTATAATATGAATATCTTTTTTAAAAGGTTACTTGGAAAAATGATCAAGAATATTGAGCATTGGAATTAATGCTTGTCTTTCATCCTGTCTCTCACTATTTACACTTATTATCACTCCTTCAGTATTAATTAATGCTAGCACTTTATCTGAATTTAAGAAAATTGCATAGACTTCAAATTCAGTAATTAGAATATTATCAAATTGGGAAGTATGTTCTTTTTTAATTTATGATCTGAAAGAATAGACAGATTTTTGTCATTAATTTTGATTGTAATGACATATTATTATGTAATTCTTCTAATTGAATCACTAAAAACAACAAAAAAATTAAGCCTAATTTTTGGTATTTTGCTTTTTCTAAATGTAAATGTCTATTGTAAATAAAGTTTCATTCATACAGATGCAATAATTCTTTAAAACATTTTTCTAAAATATATAATAAAATATATTACTTTAAAATTTTGTGAAAAAGTTGGTTGAACTTTCACATACCAATACATCCTTTATATTTTACTGGGAAAAAGATAAGGAGGTATAAGGTGTAATTAGTATTATTATATGATACCAAGAGTCTATGATCAAAGATGCTAAAGCAAAAGCATATGTAAATAAATTTTCATACCTTTTTACATGGAGATCTACTTTGCAAAACATATAGTTGGCTTTATACCTGACGATCTCAAAATTATGAATCCCTTAGCATTTCATAATATATGCTTTTGTCAGCACTTTTACTTTTAAAGCTGGTTCTGTATTGTATATAGACTTTCTTATACATTTTTTTACATTTGTTTGAAAAAAAAATAAAAAATAAAGAGCAGCAGGGAGA